ATTCATACATCTAAGTGATTTCACACAACTCAGATAAAGTTTCCATAAAAGGTTTCTCAAAGCTTTTTCCTTATTAAGGTGAATGCCCCTCGTGAATTTTTTCATGATTGTTCATGTAAAACTTACAATGTTTGATTCGTAAATTAAAAATCCAACTCTACTACGGAAATTTTGTTTTGCTCTGAGTTTACGAATTACATACATATGTTCTACTGAATCGAGCTTGAGGGGTCCGAACACTGACTGGCAGCCTTTAAGTTAATTTGCAACTCAAAAAATTCTGACAAAGTCGAAAGAAGTTTAATTAATAAAAAACATTTCCGATGTCTATTATCAAAAAGAGGGATATTTGGAGTGACAGGGAAGTGCAGCAAATGTTGTCTATCATAAGAGAAAACCACATTCTCAAACTTATGGATAGTAAAGCAAAACGAAACAGAAGCATTTTTGAGGATGTGGCCGCAGAAATGGCAGCAAAAGGCATTCAAAGAAGTTCAACGCAAATTCGAACCAAATTTAAAGCATTAAAATTGGACTACTACAAAGTTAAACGAAATAATAATAAAAGTGGTGCTAAGCGTCAAACGAGTGAGCATTTCACTTTGTTGGACGAAATTCTCGGACACCGTCCGGCAGTGACATCAACTGGCTTAGACACTTCGTTGGCAGAATTTTTATCTGATGAAGACACGCAACCAGAAATGCAAGGTGGTGAGAATGTAGCACCAAATGTCTTGGAAGACACGGATGGAGCCACCAAACCTTTCGGTCGGACATTTAAGCGTACAAGTATGTAAAGGCATGTAGAAGACAGTTTATGTGCACATTATTGCTTAACATTTTTTTGACTTTTGTTTTAGAAAAACTTAGCTACCAAAAGGCGGTTGAAAATTTTTCTAAAGAATGGAAAACCTCACAAAACGACTTATTGGATTATATGAAGACCCAAGATGAGACGTTTTTGTATAAGCAAGAGGAAATTCTCAAAATGAACCGCGAAGAGACCCAAAAAATCATGGAAAAAGATCGTGAAGAAACCAACAAAATGTTGAGCGCCTTTTTAGAGGCAATGAAAGCACCGCAGCCTATTATGCCAGTTTATTGTCAACCATCGCAGAGCACAAACCCATCACAACCCTCAACGTTTTTCTTCAGCCCCTTTAAACCTAAAAACAACAATCGTGATGTGGAATAATTACCCGTTTCTTAAGGTCTGATTATGCATACTTCGCATAACTTCGCACAACCATTTGTGCCAGTGCAATAAAAATGTAACTTAAGAAAATGCGCAGCAAAATCTAAACTCAACAGACCGCTAAGTTTTTAAAAGTTCTGCTAATTTCTGGGTAATGCAACACATTCAAAGTACATACGAAATTATAGTTTGAAGTTTATGCGAAGTTGTGCGAAGTATGCACAATCAGACCATTAGAAGCTATGAACTTGGTATCTTTTTATTTCTTTAACAATATTATTCAAGCATTGGAGCTTGTTTAAATTCGTTTATTTCAGTTCATTGTCAATCCGTTTGTATTACAAAAATATAAAACATGTACATGTGCATATGTATGTATCCATGTACAGTGATTTTAACAATATAAACAACGTTTTTCTTTTGGTAAATCCTTTTCGTTAATTTTGTATGAGAGTATTCATAGTTCAATCTATAATAACAATTAGGTGGTTTACAAGGTGTCGTAAGTGTCGTATTGTCGTACATCGTAAAGTTTTTAAAGGCTAAATAAGTGTAGAGTTCTGTATTAAATATGTGATTTTCTCAAGGGATATGTTCTTGCTAAATAGTTCTTCAAATTGTTTCGCACACATTTTGGGTCAATATTGCCCTCAGAAATTATTTCGAATGAATATTGATCACGCGGCTGCTGAAATTCGACATCATTTTCAACATTTTGAGCCCAGGAATCCAAGAAAATTTCTTTTTGTTGTTCAGCGAAGTTGTGCAAAATTGCACAAGCCAACACAACCGAAGGTACAAAACCGGGATCAACATCAATGCGTTTCGATAAGCACCTCCATCTACCCTTAAGCCTTCCAAAAGCGTTCTCTACAACAATGCGTCCTGAACTTAAATTACAATTAAAAGATTCCTCCTCAGGGCTTAAATTTCCAGTAAAAGGTTTTATAAGCCATGGTAGTAGTGGATATGCGGGGTCTCCAACTAACATGAGCGGAATTTCTATGCCTTCAATTGTGGTGGAGTATTGAGGAATTAGTTGTGCGGAGTTTCTGAAAAGACCGGACTCCTTAAAAACAGTCGCGTCATGTGCACTTCCAGGAAGTTTGACACTAATATCCCGGAACCTGGAAAAGCGGAAAGTTATTTGGATCCTTTGTCAAAACCGTTAACCTTACATGTATTTATGATCCACAACAGCTTGCATCACAATAGATGGCCAACCCTTTCTGTTTACGTAGTCTAAATAGCCTTCACTGGGTGGTAAAACTGGAATATGTGTACCTACAAAGTAAAAGTTGGGGGTTTCTATTATTAACCGTTGCTTTTTCGCAACTCTTTGCTTGACTTTTGTGTTGAAAACTATTCTATAGTATGTTTACATGAGTACACATGATAGTTATATTTGCATATTTATTACAATTAAACATACAACATACCGTCAATCGCTCCGATTATATTTGGAATTTTACATATTTTTTGGAATCCTCTTGCTATCATTACCGCTTCGTCCAATTGTGGAAATTTTAGAAAATCGAGTTGCAGCCGTAGTATGGCTTCTACGACAATATGAAAATACTTGTGGACTGTACTCTTATGAACCCCAAATACGTCTCCAACAACTCTATATTCAGAGCAAGAAGCTAATTTGTATAAACAAATTGCAACCTGCACTTCTGTTGGCAAAGGAGCTGTTACACTTATTTCAGATGATTGAAGATGTGGCCTTAGTTTTTCGCACAAAACAAGGAACGATGCGGACCGCATTCGGAAGGACTCAAAGTAAAGATGTTCGTTACCTGGCTGTTTTAGGGTCCACCAGTAGCTTTCACCGGCGCGTGGGCGCCTGTGTATTTCTCGGAATCGTGGGGTGCTTACCGTAAAAAAGTTCAATGGAACTTCGCGTTGCATGGTGCAAATTTTTCTTATTGTCGTTCTCCTTTGTCTGGCAATATTTATTAAAAGCTCTTCATGAGACGATAAAAGTGAGCGGTATAAATTATTTCTTCTTTTTTTTAAATATTCAAGAAGATTTAAGAAAAAGAATTCCACTTTTGTATTTTCCATTTTATTAATAGTACTTTTGTTAACAGCTGACAAGTTAACAGCTGACTTCAATCCATTTCAGTAGCGTTGCCACATAATCCGCTTTGAAATGCATGGTATAAACACTATACTGGAAATCGCATTCAGTTGATGTGGTTTCATTCAAACCTTCGTATAAACGAGGTAAATGTAAGATAGCAGAAGAGGGCAGAGGCAAAAGTTAAGTCGAGTGGCAAAGTCACAACTATTGAGTGTCAGTTCGTAATGGTTTTATATAGTTAAAATGACAAACGATGACCTTGGCAAACAGAAAAATTCAATGTCATCATCCCACTTAAATATGCGCCAGGACACAGAAAACGTCCACTCACACATGCATACTTGTAAGTGTATGTATGCACGTTGTCGCGTTTGTCATTTCGAACGAGTTAAATTCGTTGCTAATTGACTCACCGACTGAATATATGACAAAGTTCTCGGTATCGGTTTCAGTGTCGTTCCCGTTGGAGTTTTTTTTTTTTTTTGATTTAGATTAAAAAGGATAAATGCAATACAGAATGATTATAATACAGGTATACTATAGATCAGTGTTGTCCAACCGTTAGTTCGCGGGCGCCTAGTAGCTCGCGATCTGAATTTTAGTCGCCTCCAAACAAAAAGATGGACAGAACAATACTCTGTATCGCACTACGCCATTCCGGCTGTAAATGCGAAAGTGTCAAGTGAAAATGAAAATCGTCAGTTGTAAATGAGATTAGACAATTGTAAATAAATATATTTCCAAAATCCAAAGACATTAATGAAGAAATTCTCAATAACCATTTAGATGAGACTCTCCTACTTGGCATTTTTAAATGATATAATTGCCAAACTAAATATCAGTAAAAGTTTTCAGAAATTATGACTGCAATCTCAGAGTTTGTGGGGAAAATCGACATATAAAAAAAGGCTGTTGGCAGAGAAAAACTGTCACCATTTCCCCTGGTTTGCTTTTCTTTTGGACGCGGAAAATCTTGCGGGGTACAATCCAGCGCATTACGTGGAAAATTTCTTTAGTTGCGATCGAAATACGAGAAGCGATGTATGAATAGCTTCGTTCCACACGCTTTCCGGGCTGTTTCGGTAATTAGAGCGTAAAAATAAGTTATACTCTCCCAAGTGTCAAAAATGTGCCAACACATGCCAAAAGTGCCCACAGCATGTGGAACGCAAAAAACCACATTTCGTGCCCCGAATCCGCAAATCAGCTCTAAAAAATGATATATGTATTTATCGGATATGGCAAATAAAATTAGCTAATAACTAAATTTTTTTGCAACTTCTGTGATATTTTCCATTTCCACAACAGCTGTTATGGCAATTTAACTTGTTGCACATTTGAGCCCGGAAAAAAAGTCCGGACTGTTTCGGGCATGACAGACAGATGAAGACATTTACAATCCAAAGTTGGAACGTATTAGCTCTCTATTACTCATTTTTATAGTGTAAGGAACGCTTTCAGGGCTGTTTTGGGCACCCGCGGGCTCGTGTGGAACAAACCTAATACAAATGCAAAAATGCTTAGCTAATAGTTTTTTTTTTTTGTCAAACGTTGTGGGGACTTTTAATTCGATTAAAAGTTTTTTATTAGTAACGGCCTTGTGCATTTCAGGTAACTATGTTAGTTGCATTAGTTTTCGAGTGATGCGCGTACACATACGGACATACGGACAGACAAAAATTCTAAAAATTGTTGATTTGGCTTCTATTGCACTAAAAAAGACCCCCCATATTAATTTTTCTTTAAAATTTTTAATGTACAGACATCAGCCTATTACAATTTTTTTATATGTATGTATCTATATAGATAAAGGTGTTTATAGGGATCAATTAAGATCAAAGTTAATTGAGCCGGTGCCCGCAGAGCATAGCAATGGTTTCAACCTAGCCCTCAGTGCAAACTCGGTTGGACACGACTGCTATAGATAATTCAGTCTGTGGCAGCATTGGTGGTTACGTGAGCGCTGTTGTTGCGGTGGCGGTCAGTGGCTAATAGCCAGTGGTATGTTACTGTATTGGCCAGTGGTTATGAATGTCGCCATTTTGTGTGTAAGTGATGTGCACTTTTTTATGTATGTGTGTGTATGCTCGTTTGATGGGGCAAGCTATGATTAAATTAAGAACATATATGCGTTACTGTGACCTTGAAATATTGCGCAAATTCGCACGTAATTACATACATATGTACTGAAGAATATCCAAATTAAGGAGACCCGACTATTTTTATACCCGAGCGCACTTGTGCACAAGGGTATTATAACTTTGTTCACATAACGGTTGTTTGTAACAGGCAAAACGAATCGAGATAGATATAGACAAATGTACACATAAATGATCAGAATGAAAAGAGAAATCGATTAAGCGGTGACTGTCTCTCCGTCCGTCCGTCCGTCCGTCCGTCCGTCCGTCCGTCCGTCCGTCTGTGCACACGATAACTCGAGTAAAAATTGAGATATCTTAACGAAACTTAGTACGTGAACTTCTTTTGGGCGTAGGACGGATGGTATTGAAAATGGGCGAAATCGGCCAATAACCACGCCTACCTCCCATATAACGGTAATTTTCAGAAATACGAAAACTGCCATATTTTAGTAACTACTGAAGATTATTCACTCAAAATTGATATTTACAATAATTTTTAGACGACAAATAAGAATATTATAAATTTTTGAAAAATGGGCGTAGCCACGCCCACTTATGGTTACATGTGTATATCTTGGCAACCTCTCCACCGATTTCTTCCAAACTTGGCACAGTTGTTGGTCCTGATACAGCATACCAAATGGCTGAAAATTTTTAAAATCGGACAATAACCACGCCCACATCCCATATAACGGTAATTTCGAGAAATACAAAATCTTCGATAAATCAATAAATATTAAAGCTAAATTATTCAAAATTGGTGGTTGCAACGATTATTTACCAAGAAATATGTTTATGATAAAATTTTGGAAAATGGGCGTGGAACCGCCCACTTGTGATCACATATATGTATCTCGC